TCAGGGTCTTCTACAGCTACGTTTCGTTGAGTTCGGCAGTAATAGTATTTCCATTCTTCCTGTTATTGTCCGCAAAGGGGGTTGGAGTGGTGAGGAAGAGGAAGACGACGAATGCGAGCCCGAAGCTTTGCCGAGTTTTGCCGAAGCGCACGCTGCATTGGCGAAAGTGAAGTTGTTCTTTTATGCGCTTAATATTAGTGAACGTGACGAGGAAAACATTTTGAACGTGGAAAGTGCTCTGTTTGGTCTAAAACGTAAAGTTTCGACAAACCAGTTGTCCATTAAAGACTTTTTTGGTAAAAAGAAGCAACTTTGAAAGAGAAACATTGTTTTTTTTTAAATTTCTAATGCTTTCCCGCATCTATCGTTTTCCCGCATTCATCGTTTTTGTTTCCCACCCCCGCCGAAAACGATGCATCGAGGTTTCACTGTATACATATTGATTTTTTACCCATGAAATAAATAAAAATTTTGCAATTGTGCATCATGACTTTATCAGAACATATAGCAACAAGATAGATGTATTTGATCAGAGCAAAAATTGTAGTAAATGTAGTAATTCTGAACAGGTAAACAATTTTGAATACTTTGGTTTTTGTATTTTTAGTATGGAAATAAATAAAGATTTAGAAGAAAATATAATAAAATGAATGGGGTGCTGAAGAAACATTACAATACACAAATGGGTGCAATTGAGACTATAATGTGGGTTCAGAAACAAGCTTAATATGTTGAACTGGTTGTTGGACCTGTACATTTAGGGATAAGAAGATTGAAGCGTCACAAATGACATTCTTATGTGGTCTCAAAAGACAGACAGACAGTGAAGTGAGAATATGAGAAATTTACTTGATGTTAACAAAATGACCAGTGACTTTAAGGAATATCAGGAGAAATGGTGAAGTCATGTTTACTTGATGCCAGCCTGTAGATTACCAAGAAGAGATTTTAACTACCAACCTTGAGGAAAGTATAATTTAGGAAGACCATGACTGTGATGGTCTAGTGGGGCTAAATCTTATAATAAAGAATAAAGTAAAAAAAATTACATTAGTGATGTCAGTAGAAGAAAGGTGTTTAATCTTGCACTGTTGTTATTCTGTATCGTTATGATATAAGATAACAAGTAAACTGTATTGCCTTTTTTTATGTGTTCAAACATTTTCCATGTTGTTGAATTGCAGTTAGTTTCTTTGAATGCCAATGGACAAGCTGTGTTATTGGAGAGCATTGTGAGCAATCTCTTGAGTTGTTTGAATGATCCATCTCCTGTGGTAAGACAACTTTGTCTTAAGGGCTTGGCTTCTGTGTCTCATCTTGCAGAAGAGCAGGTGAGAATCTTGCATCTTAGATATGTTAAGTTTTTTTTCTTTTTTCCTGGAAGGTAACTTACTGGTACTCACATGTGTTGAAGGGACAGTACTGTTTGTTATTTGGCAAAAATAAAACATATATCAAATTCAACATATTATTAAAAGGTGAACCATAAACATTAATAAAAAGTAAACATATCTTTAGACAAGTCTTTTGATTAGTGAAGAAAGGTGTCAACATTAGATGTTATTGTATGCCTCCAGGAAAAAATCAACTTGTATGTAGTTAAAATGCTTCACTCTCAGTTAATAGTTTGAGTTATGTAGAAATTAGTGTCTTAGCAAGATATTCACATGTGGAATTTCATTTTAGTGGTGTTGAAGCTTCATGTTTTATTACCAATTATTGAGTAAGTAATTAGATTTGTAAGTATGTATGAGGACAGATTTTCATTTTCATGAATTACTAATCTTTTGGTAAAATTAATCCAGCTGTTTTTTCTTAAACTCTTTATGGGAAAAAAGTTAATAACTTTGATTAGTAAACCATTTGAATTGTGCTTGTCATAATTAATGAGTTGCAATGATTGAAAACACCAATTTTCCTTTAGAAGAATCGACATTGCCAACCTGTTTTGTCAGCACTAATCCAGGGACTGGATGACCATGATAGTAGTAACAACATTCCACTTGAAGCCATGAGAGGGTTCTCACAGATGTTACAAGTTGTGGATGTGGAGCATGTGCAAGGTGTTCAAGTATCAGTTGCACTTCGGATAAAGCCCTATTTTGAGAACGAGAATCCTAATGTACAAGAAGCTGCTTTCCGAATGTTTGGAGACTTGGCAAAATTTGGAGGAACTAATTCCAAAGGAGCATTTCAAGAACAAGTCACCAGCAACTTGGTGTGTCTTCTACTTCACTTGGATGACAGCAGCAAAACTGTGGTCAAGGTATATTATTTCCATGGTTTTTAAGATTTTTTATGCTCTAACATAGGCACCCTGGTTCCATTGTTGAAGCAGTGAAGAGTAAGTTCATTTTTGGAAAACTTTTTTATGCACTGAGACCAGTTTTTGGAACACACTTGCAACAGTGAGATCAAGGTCATTGTTGTAATAAATTGTTGCAGTAGTAGGAAGTAAGGTTATTGTCGGGGTGTATTATTATAACAGAGAGAACAGAGGTCATCATTGACTCCATGACCTCAAACCTTTTTTATTGCAAGTTACCTTAGGCATTTGTTATTCCTTTCAAGTAAGAGTGATCTATGTCCAATTTTTTGTGCTGTGGTTATTGTGTAAACATGAACCTGGACCTGAACCTGATGAGACCTAGATGTACATGGGAAGTTTTATTAGAATGGGCCTCTGAGAAATACAGTATGATTTATGATCATATTTAATGTAGTGTTCTTGTGAGCATTGTGATGGACTTCTGACTTTCATAAAAGCATAAATACAATAATTTCTTGACCAGCTGAGTAACCATCAGTTTTTTGAGGAAGATTATGTACCTGTAGTTTGTTTGTAACATAGTTATTTGTAGAAGATAACTGTTACATCTTCTCTGATGCTTTGTAGGTAATGCTTGTGAAGTTTTATTCTCTTCAGATATTCTAGCTATGATATTGCTGCTGATATTCAGAATATATTTTATGCAGCTCTCATCATGATAGAAAAGTAGTGAAAGTAGAGTTTCTCCAAAACTCCATATTTGTTTCATTAAAAGTAGCACTCCGTCTAAACAATTTCTTCTTTTCATCAATGGTGGTAAAGTACACATATCAGGTTGTCGTAGTGGCGACAGTCCAAACAGGAGGATATTTTATAGCTGCTTATGTATGCATGCCAATGGATTAATGAAAAGCAGACTAGATCTCATTCACTGTGCTACATCCTTCGTTTTTTGCAGGCTTGTAAGTATGCTTTGAGAGAGGCAAGTCCTCTGTTGGGAGCAGAGAAGATAAACACAATGATGCAAGACCATCTGATAGATGCTGGAAATTTGCATTACCCAGAGTTCCTGGCTGATCTTGTGAAGATAATGGTAATCTGTTTAAAATTTCATTTAGTTTTCTGTAGACTCCTGATATTCTTGAATAGATTTATGTTATCTATGAAACAAAGTCCTTTTGTTTACCCAAATTCCTTCGAGCTTTCCTTCTGTATGCTAAGAGACCATATAATACAGTGCATAAAACAATGTGTTAGTCTTCTTCTAAAAGAAGAACTTGGCATACATTATCAACTACAAAAACATAAATTATCTCCCCTTTTATTTATTAAATATACAGTGTTCTGTGAAACATGTGCTAGACTTCAGAATATTATATTATATGAGTCATTTTGAGTAAAAATTTCTGTATCATTGTGTTTGATTATGAACCATTACACTGCTATGGGCATGTTAGTTTTACTCTGTTAACAGAACTGGCATTGTAATATTTATTTTATTTCTTTTATTTACAAAAGATCCTACAGAGTTGTCCCATTTTTTGTCAGCTAATAACATGACTGCAGCCAGCAATATGTGAAATGTATGGCTGGATGGTATTTTTTTGTTTGTTGTAACTAGGACTAAGGAAGTAGGAATAGTTGGGGGTAAAAGGGAGAGGTGTTTACCAGGGTCAAGGTAAGCATGAAGCTTGTTGGTAAATACTGTGGAATGTTAATATAGGAACATTCTAGAGATATATATTTCTGGATTGTTATATGGAAGTTTTTGTAAGAGTTGTAGCCCACAAGGAAATGTATTTATATTCCCAGGACCAGAAATTTTGTTTATAAATAAAGGTTTATTTATAGATTTGTTTAATGACAATTTCATTAGCTTATGTAGGGTCAAATGAGAGGATGGTTAGTGAATAATAAATTATAAAGATGTGTAAGTCTTAGCCTAATTTAGGGTAGTATACTGACATTTTTCTACAGACTCAGGAGAACCATGAAGAATCTCATAGTAGCTGGTTTCTGGGTCAAGATTTTAATCTGATATGAAGCAGGTGTGCTAACCACTTGATTGTGATGCTCAGTAAATAAAGAGGAGTTATATGAGATTTTGTGCATTATAATTTTGCATAATCTCTGTCTGTAGATTACTACTTTATTATTTAATGTATTCGGTCTCTTGAAAACGTCTGTCTTCTTTAATCTAGGTTGAAGAGTTACCTGAAATTACTCCAGCTCTTGTGATGAATGCACTTGTGTACATCAAAAGCTCATGGCCAGTGATACGAGGGAATGCAGCTATGTTTATTGGTAAGTAAGTAAAGCTGTCCCACTATATGCCAAGTAGGCATTTGGGGGAGAGGAGGTACAGCTCCTACTCATTCTTGACCTCGGCACTAGATGGGGGTGAGTGATCAGCATCACGCCTTGGCTGTGCTTTACCCCCGAAAAGACCCCAGTACTCATTGAATAGGAGGCTGGGTGGGCTCCAGAACCGGTCTGGATGTAGAGGCTAGAGGAAAAATTCTCTGCCCCCGTCGGGGATCGAATCCCAGTTTTGTGTTGCAATGCATGTAATGAAATTGTTTACCCTGCCCTTCCATGAAATTTGTCTTTGAAGATTTTAATTTTTTTAAATTACATTTGCAGGTCATTTGTATGGAAATCTATCTGACTGTGACATTTCAAGCAAAGTTCCTATTGATACAGTATGTGCACGTCTCATCCAGCTCCTGCAGGATGATGATCAGGGAGTGCGAGCAAAGGTGGCAAAAGCTTTGAGCTACCTTGTTATGGTGTAGTTAATATTACGAGGTTGTGACTCACTTTGAATAAATAAAAGAACAGACTGAGACTAGGAATTATATTTTACTTACTGAGAGCTGGTGTGGTTCCTTAATCAGAAGTTAAAGTGCCTGTGATTGAGAATACATTTTATTTTACCAAAATATCCCATAGAGTTAATTTCTTTTACTTTTTTTTTTTTTGTTAAAAGTTTTCTTTCATAAAAGGCTAACATTTCCAAGTTTATTTTTAAGTTGCGTTTCATCATGTGCTCCTGGCACACTGTTTTCCAGAGCTGCTGTATTAGACATTATGAATTAGGAACAGTTAATTATTTTTTAATGATTTGCATGACTGAACTGTGTGTGCTAAGAGATATGGTCCCATACCTTCCATAGTCTTGAGTGTTAACATACATTTACAGTGTGTTACAGCTGCTCTTTAAATAAGGTTTGATTGTGTCTTTCTCAGCTGCTGGTCTGACTACCATATTTACCCAAACATAAGACTGCAGTTTGAAGTTCCTCCTGCTTTCTATGTAATACCTGTTTTGTTTCACTGAATATCAACGTTTGAAACTACAACACTATATCGTTATGTAATCATTTGTTATTGATTTGAGTAACAACATGGGCACCATGCAACATGCAATTGGCACTGATATTCCTGCGTGTTTCCTGGTTATATCGAAAATTAATTAAAAATCGACATTTTCTCTAAAGGCGAGACGAGACTGCTTTGTGCTCGCAGTAGAGAGACTCGGAGTGAACTGCCGTGTGTACAGACACTACAACGAACCCCTAGAATTCATGGCTTCGGTTTGGGATTTGCGAAACCGTCCACATTTACGCATTCTCACGAGACGGAACACGACGCCGAACCAAGCACATTAACACTTTCCCGGCTCCATTCCAGGCGAAAGGCTTACTATCCCCACTGACGATGTATCCTTCATGTCGTCTTCATAGTCATATCAACATATACCTCATTAGACGGTTTATAACCTCTCAATTTGATAAGCAGTCATAAAATTACCGAAATAACGACAACAATTTTCTACCTCTGAATCCATACGAGGTGCGATCGGAAAGTTTCCAGACTGCGCGTATATATATATATATATATATATAAACCCCACACACATATTCATATCTACAAATTCATGGTTTAATTTCTTTGCCATTAATTGTATGCAAATGTTGTTATTGTGACTTTAACATGAAGCTAAACAATTACAGGGAATTATATATGGACACACCTCACTGTTGCATTTAATAGTGATCTAGGAATTATGAACTAAAAATGTAAGAATTGTGTTTCATATAAAACACCTACTTTAGTAGGTTAAACATGATATATCTTGTATGTTTCTTCCTTCCAGTATACTATACTGTAAATTGTAATTGGACAAGATATTGCTAACAACAATTATGTAAGCATTAGTTTAGGGTGTGAAAGGAGCATGTTAAGTGTGGCTTGTTCTTCAGTTTTTGATTCATATTTGTTGAAACATGTGCCACAGTTAAATTCTTGATATAACACTATAGTAAATATCCATGGTTTGGATAGAATTATGTTTAAAATGGAGTGATATTTAGTTTAAGTCTCTGAAGTAGAAGAGCTCAGATAATCCAATTGTGTAGGGAGATATCTTTGTGTTACTTGCTAGATCTTAGTATGATGAACATTATTCAAGCTAAATCATCCAGGTCCTTCTTTTGGAAGGAGGTCATATACACTGTGTGTCTGCCTGATGTGGGCAGAGCCAAGTTTGCATGTAAAATCAACTACAAAGTGTCAAGAAGAGTATTTTTGTTTTTGAAAATATTTGACAAAGTGAGTATCCAGTTTATAATAATCTGTCACCTGAAACTATGTAAGTTTTGTTTATAAGCACACGGAGTGACATTGAGTAGATGCTGTACTTGTGGCAAACATGACAGTCTACAACAGTTAAAAGATTTGTTGAGATGTGTAGAATATATCCCCATTATGATGGAGACACTACAATGCATTTGTCAACATGGTGGTTGCAATGGTAAATTTTACATTCCAATTTTTTTCCTGTCATAAATGTAGTTTATGGTTTTTTGAAGTACTGTCATTTGTGGATGACAACAAACTATGTAACCTTGATGTACTTCATGTTTGACTCATAATGTTTGGTATGAATACACTTGTGAGACTCTTTGTTAGGTCTTAAAAGGACTTACTAAAAACAATTTGAAAAGAGACTGAAATTTTATTGGCACTGTACTTTTGTAACTGGTAGTTCCCTCTTATGCTAGACCTGTTTCAAGAAAGAACTAATTTTATATAAATGAGCCCATATAACTTCCTGCATCTGCTGTAGTAACAAAAATATTGGCAGAATTTCTAGTCATGTTTTATTTAATTTTTTATTGGCAATTACTTGAATTGTAATTTTTATTTTATAGTTTCAGATGAAATAAAAATGTTATTCTTAAGTATGGTGATTGAACACTGCTTCTCAGTAAATGTGGTCATACTGAATATAGTGAAACTTTTGTTAGAAATCAAGCTGAATTTAGAAAAAAGTTATTGAAGGTCAAGTAAGTGTCTTTCTGGAAGTACATTTATAGTGTCTTGTGTTATTAAAATAATCCTCAATTTCTATCCGTAGTTCTGTAACCATTGATAATCTGACTCATGTTCATATTTGTTACATTTGTGACTGGGAATTACCTCAGGCATAATATCCTGAGGTATAGACATATTGTCTCTGGGCACTGTATATATTTGCATACCATGGGAAGTGTGCCTCTGCACAGAAAATGTTAAAATATTAAAATGTGTATAAAAACTAGAAACGATCAATCAGGTTCTCAAGGACTGTGTTCCACGGCATTTCTTAATTAATTAAATGCTGTGTCTTGTTTTGATTGTCTGTTTATTTAGTGCTTTTGGAGATAGATTTAAACCATACTAAAACAACTTTGATATCTTTGGTTACACCAGTCATAGTATTCATGTCTTATATATTCTGATACCCCACCTGTTATAATTTAAGCTGACATAATGGTTTTATATTATTCTGGAGATGTTAAGATCTGCTGTAGCACCATGAGTCAGGGTTGTAAAATTGTTCATTGCATTGCTTGAATTGGAGATGATTGGTGGATGGGCAAATTGTGTAGGAAGGCTCTTATATGACGTTTTCACTCGCTGAGTTCCTGGCAGTGGCTGCTACCCCCACCCCCAAACGCTTTGCACTAGTTTCATAATAACTGCTAACAGATGGCAATACACTATGCTTGTTGCCAACTTGTAGCATTGAGATACCGTTGTGAATGTTGGTATTTTTCGCCTGTAATTCTTGTACCCATGATGCATTGCATGACGTGTCCTGCAAGTTTTATCAATTCCGTAGATATGTACTTTCGATTTTATTAGAAAGATATTTCCGATTTTAAGTTAAATGTTTGTAGGTTACGTCTTGTAAATATTTATCTCATACTTCAGCATATTGAATACAGAGTGACAGTATTTATTTAAACGTAATTTACGATATGATACTGTCCGAGTGTTTAGTGATTTGTAGTTTAGTAATACTTGGAGTATCAAATGGCTTTTATTTACCCGGTTTGGCACCGGTTAATTATTGCAAAGAGGGAGATGGAACTGGAGCCAAAACTTGCACGGTAATGTGTTACAAATGTTTCTTTCTTGTGTCTGTTTATTTTTCCTACTCTGGAAGGGGGCGGTAATTGGACGAAGAATTCTCGGTTGTGCTAATACATACAAAATTATATTAGTTCTGAGTAGAACGTTAATGCAGCTCACTGGCATGTCAGTGTTTATGTAATGTGCGCCTCTTTCGTAATGTCCTGGTTCTTTGGCTTTGTCATTAAAATTTTCATTAATGTGTGTCATCGGAATTCAGATGACTCATTTGCCACTGTGTTCAGACCTGATCCTGTATCCATGTAATACTGGGGATTTTATCCTTGGGGTATGACTGCCGAAACATTAAACAGACATCATCTTCATCCAAAGGAATGGTTGAGAAAGCATAGTGCTTACACAGAAGCAGAACTTCACATTCTGCTCTTACTAAAGTCATAATAATTGTCACCACCATTGCATCCTGTTTTAGAGTCTGTTTGTTAACTGTAGGAGATCAATCAAATGTATTGCTTTAATGATTGAAAACAAATGTTAGAAATTATGTCTTCACTTGTGTCAGTTCACTTCTTTTTCATTGATTGTTTTAATTTGGGGAAATGCTGAAAGTCACATGGCAGGTTGGGATAGTAATGGTTGTGGTAACATCGGAATGTTATACCTTTTAAAAACTGATGGATGGAGAGTGACATGAAGGGTGTATTGTCATGATGGAGCATCCAACATCTGACATTTTTTCAGCATTTTCTTTCAGATGGCCTCTCACAAACAATGCAAGACTTTTTTTGGAAAATATTTAATTAACTGTTTGACCTTGTGGAAGAAATTCAGAATGTTTCTTTTCCTCTCATGTCAAAAAGCACAATCAACTCTTCTTCACATGTGATCTTGATTAATGTGCATTATGCATTGTCAGTTATGTGGGTGCTTGTTTTGTTGTCATGCATGTTTGCACATAGGCAGTGCCGAAAGTAGTTATGGTTTAAAGAGAGTGAATTGTTACCTCTAGGGTTTTATCAAGTTTGAGTTTATTTTCTTCATCATCTTCCCCATATAAAATTCCTCAACCCTCCTCCTCCTCCCTGCATATTCTGATTGAACTCAGTGCTGACATATCCTCTTACAAATCTAATTGCTAAACATTTTTGAACTTCGTCTTGACGTTATTGTATTCTCCTCTTTTGGGTATTGAAGTCCTTGCACCCTTTGTTGCTTATATTCTCTTGGGGAATATTCATTACCATGAGGTAATTTTATAAACACACTGGTCATATTCAGTTATTTTTCTTTCCTTTTTTCGGAGTAAGCATATCAACACAAAACAAGTGAAATTATAGCTTTATGTATTATAATTATAGGTTTTGAGAGGTGAAAGTTTCTGAAGTAAATAAAAACATGAATTGTATGGTAACTTTTTTTCTATGCTGTTAGTTGCTGATATTGTAACAAAGTTAAAGTGACATTTAGGGTTGCTGCCAATTGCAGCTTTTGTGCATTTATATTAAACTTTCTTCTTGCAGAGTGATGTCCCACTGTATGTGAATCGTTTAAACACGGAAGAGTCTGCCATACCTTATGAGTATGATTAGTAAGTATTTGTATATTGTTCAACAGATGTAGGAATGTAAGTTAAAGTTTAAATGATACTTGATACATGTACATAATGAGATTTTTAATATTCATTGACATTTTTACCAATTTCAGAGTGTGTTTGTGTTTTCATGTGCATGCATGTGTGCATATATACACCCACCCACCCAGTCAAGTGAAAGGTGATGAAGAAGCTATATAATTTGCTTTCTGTTTCAGTTTTGACTTTTGCCAAGTTGAGGGCGTGGCATCACCTGTTGAGAACCTAGGACAAGTTGTTTTGGGAGAGAGAATCCGACCATCCCTGTACAAGGTACTGTCCATATAGTGTAAAAGGTATGGTATTTGTACTAAGAAGTATCAAAGAAATCATTCAAAATTATTTGTATACAAAAACTCCATCAGAGTTTAGTAATACGCAAGCAACATATTTAAGATGGACTATTATTGATGTTTTGTTTTTGGTATTACAATTGATTTTTATGTATGAATAATATATTCAGTGAAAAAGTTATATTATTTTTATGTTTGGTTTGGAGTAATGGAGACATCCATTTTTAGGTGGGAAACACTTTAATTGATTTATTTTGTATCAAAAATTAAATGCCTTGTATGATGGCATTTGATCCTTATTTGTATGTATGTTATTTTTCAAGGCTAGTTTAATGCTTTTATGTTAGTTTGCTGTCATATGGACCTGAACGTTATCAGTAATACGCCCGAACACCTCACTCAACTTCTTATCAGCTAGCTATTGGTCATCAGAATCATGAGATCTTCTCATGGATACTGGGATGCATTCAACATGACACAGTTTTGGAAAAGCTACTTATAAAACTTTATTGAAACTTTTAGTGATACATAGCGACACTGAAATGCGACTGCCCTTGGAAATATATGATCCATAGCGCAAAGCAGGATTAAAAGAGAAGATTTCTTCAGTAGCATTTGAGGTTTTCAAGGCGGTGAGTCTGAAGATGGCTGTCTTATAGTTTGTTGCGTAATGTAGTCTGGTAGAAGTTTACCTACTTTTCAGAGGTATTTTCTGCCTCCATCATCGGGGGTACTCATCGCCCTGATGATGGAGGTAACCATGTCGGCGAATTACAACCGGACTACACGGCCCAACAACCCAGAAGACAGCCATCTTCAAGTTTGTTAAGTCTTTTAGACAGATCTATTTCAACAATCTGATCTACAGTAAATGTTTTCCGGTGTCTATACTCATAAATTTTATTGCGTACAAACTGTTCACACTTGCTTGTAGTGAGTTACATGAAGGTGAACTTTAATGCAGTCTAATTATTCCACGTACTCAATATTAACGAGAATTACGATTATTACAATTTGTACTCTGAGGAATATTTGTTGTCCGATACGTAGCGAAATGAAATTCACCTACTATCCTCACTACACGCCTTGAAAGCGCTTCGGGGAGGAGAGATGGGATGGTTAGATGTTAGATCGCAGATGGTGCTTGACAGGCTGACAAAGAAAGATTTCCAGGGATGCTTCCAGGCTTGGCAGCGGCGCTGGGATCGTTGTGTTCACTCCCAGGGGAACTACTTCGAGGGTGATGGATGAATTTAATACCTGAGATAAGTGTACGGGTTTTTATAGGCGCAGTCTGGAAACTTTCCGATCGCACCTCGTATGGCGTGGGGTGGTGGAAACCAAAACACCTCCAATGGAAATTCTCACCAAGCTGAACAGCCAGCCCATGGTTCTTTGAAAAATTCAAGTTTTTAAACTAACTTCCTTCAAAAATATCTGGCTACAGTAATCATGCTAGGTGATGAACTGTTCTATTTTATATGTTATATTACTATTAGGCAGCTTTTAGAAGCACCTCAGATATGTAGCACGGCTGATATTTTTCATTATTCTTAGTTGGAAGGGAGTGACAGTAATACAGAAAAAGAGGAGGACAGAGTTAAAGGTGCATATGTGATACAAGAAATGAAAAAGTGGGAGTAAGCAATAAAGATATGAAAGAAGTCATTCACTGAAGATTTCCGTCTTCTGGGTTGTTGCTCTGTGTAGTCTGGTCGATGTTAACCAACGTTTCAGAGGTCATACTGCCTCCGTCATCCACCTGGATGACGGAGGCAGTATGACCTCTGAAACATTGGTTAACATCGACCAGACTACACAGCGCAACAACCCAGAAGACGGAAATCTTCATACTCACCGCTGTGAGAACCTCAAGTCTTACAAGTCATTCACTGTTGAATTTCAGTGGACCATTGTTACTAGTTTCTGATTTTCTAACAAACTAAGGTGGAGTACCTATTATTAACGATTGTACTGGAAAAAAATGAAAATAATAGCACATAGTTAATTTAAACTTCTGTTAAGTGATTTTATGAATTATACTAACTAGAATCATATGTATAGTTTGCTTCTAAAATGTGCCTGCCAGTGATTTCAGGAAAAACATTATGCAGCAGTCTGTAACTGGATGCTGAAAATTATTATTTATATACAAAAATTGGCAGAGGTACTACATGACCGTGTATTTATACTTGAAAATTGATAATTCATGTGTAAGCAGCACTGAAAATATTTGGACGTAAGAGAGCAGAAGTAACAGGAAGATGGAGAAAATTGCATAATGAAGTACCACATAATTTGTATTTTTCATGAAATATAAACACAATCACATCAAGAAGGATAAAGTGGGTAGGAAGGACATATGAGAAATTAATACAGATTTCCATAAGAAAACCCAAAAGGAGAGAGACCATTTGGGATAACTTAATATGGATGGTGGGGTAATATTAAAGTGGCTTTTAAAGAAACAAGGTACCGTCAAAGCTTAGGAATTACTTGACTAGCTGAGTAAATGACTGCTGCTTATAGTTACTAACAAATGTTATGAAAGAATCTTTTCTGTAGAGTAAGTCAAGTAACATCCACACAGTTACCTCTTGGGTGCTTTTGGTTTAAGATAATATGAGAGAAAGTGAAATAAAGCACTTGTTGCCTGCTTTAAATTATCCTGGAGGAATAGATGCTAGTCACAAAACCTGCAGTCAGGATAGTTGGTCCTCAACCTTATGTCAAACATGCAACATCTTGAATATGTAGACTGATTGCTGCATTGTTGTGATTCTTGGAATTGTAATGTAATTTTAAAGAGAGAGAGAGAGTGTGTGTGCATAGCTTTGTCAGGCATGGTTTTTTTGCCTAAGACACTCATATAATGAATGCCAATTTATATTTGCAGATTGAGTTCATGCAGGATAATCCCTGTCAGTTATTGTGTACAAAAACATACAAGATAAAGGATAAGGATTCAGAGGAAAAACTGCTTTTGCTTAAAAAAGGCATGAGACTTAATTATCAGCATCACTGGATTGTTGGTAAGGAACTTGCAAGAACTGTATGTTGTGGTGGTAGTCACTTTATAATCTAGTTCAGATTCTACCATTAATGTAACCACCTTAGTGTGTTAGTTTTAAGAAATCCTTTTCCATGCTATGTGCTCCTCCTGCAACAGTGTCCACTGCTTTCCTACTCTTTTTTGTATATCTTTCCTCTGGTCTCTCCATCTTGTTCGTGGTCTCTTCAGTTAATTCTTATTTGGTATCTTTATTTTTTGCTTGCTATCATTAAATTTCTGTTTGCATATAACATGTCCATACCAATGCATCCTTAATTTCATCACTTTTATTGTTACTCTTTCATATCTTGTCTAAATCCTGGTTTCAGTTTTTATGTTTCTTTCTTCCATGTCCTTTTTTCTTCATTGTATGTCTACTGACTGCAAAATGTTTGTGTAATCTGGAATAAAATATGGTTTGTTTCCAGATAACATGCCAGTAACGTGGTGTTATCCTTTGGAAGATAACCGTCAGTATTGTAGCCCAGGCTTCCCCATGGGATGTTATGTCAGGGAAAATGGCGGATCACAGGACTGTATTATCAGTGTATGTACAAATTGTCGGTATTGTTCAGTTTTCACACTTTCGAGGTTCTGTGCTCTTATTTGAATCCAAAACATGCTTAATTGTTTAATTATTTATTTACAGAGTATTTTTTTATTTTTCTCATATAAGCAGTGGCATCCTCCTCCTACATAGATTTGCCCTGAAGTTTAAGCTGTTAAAAAAGTTATTCAATTTTCAGTAAAAATTGAATTTTGTAAATTGTAGTATGTGTATGATGTAGTTTTCTGAAAGTGGATTTTGATAAATGCATGATGTCCTTGAGATACAGGTAAGATATCCCAGTTTTAAATGTATGTTGCACATTTACATACATTTTCTTCTATTTCTGCTAATTTCTTTGATCCAGAACTGAAGTGTGGTAGTTCAGTTGTGAATATCATAATTTATTAAATATACATCTAGAGTTTAACAGTGTCTTACTCCCACATAAGTACTGAATGTTGTCAGCACTCACTCATATTGTCCATGGCATATCTTGATGCCATAGCATCATCATCTTATGGAATTTTGTTCACATGGGCTACATTTTCTTAAATTCTTCCTTTTCCTTTATCTTTCCGCATTAAACGTATTCTTTCCATAAAAAGTAACTTTCCAATAAAGACAGCTTCCTTTAATGCATTTCAAAATATGCTATGGATTCATTTGCAGACTACAGTTATTTTTGATACTGATATATGTTAAATATCATAGTTCTTAAATGCAAAGTAATAAGTGAAAATATGAAAGAATTAAAAGGTGCTTTACTGGTATGCTCTGTACACTGAGTTTTATATATTGATGTAGATACATGTGCCATGTTTGCTTCCTGCATAATATGTAATATTAATATCTCATCTTTCATATGCAGGACAGAATCATGATATAAAGATAGCTAGTAAATCCTTGGAAAATATGTTTGCGAACAGTAACAGATCTAAATCTAAAATTATATTTTACTTGTTTTTTGTGTATACTGGCTTCGTCAGAGGGGACCCACTTAGATCGAGGATATTTGAAACAGGATGCCGGGGAGAATATTTGAACTGAAGAGGAAATGTGAGAAAATTTCAGATTGACATACTTCGTAGTGTATACACTTCATCGAATATTTTATGATTATCAGATCAGGGAGGATAAGATGGTTTGTGCATGTAGTATACATGGCAGAGGTGATTAAATGCATGCAAATATTAGTCAGAAAACCTGAATGGAAGTGACCGCAAAGAGGAATTGTTCATGTGAATATAATATTTAAATGGCTGTTCAAGAAATGGTGTGGGTTAGAGTCATCCATCTCAGGATAGGGACCATTTGTAGGTACAGTAATGAACCGTAACCTTTCTTCGTCGGTTGGGGATTTCTTGATCAGCTGAGTGAATGTTGACTTCTTTACAATGATTCTGCTCCTTGATTTATTACTACAGTATTTTATTACGTCAGTGTATCAAGTAATCTTTAGTTGCTATTGGTTACTCTATAAATGTTTTAAATTTTACTCCTTTTTTGTTTTCGCTTTAATGCTAGATGTTTGTAATGGTTCAGTTAGTACTTGATGTCTTTTAATTATAATTGCAGTCCAACTACAACAAACCCAAAACCTTTTATATCTTCAACCACGTTGATCTGGTCATTACATACCACAGTGGTAAGGGTGAAGATTGGGATGTTGGCTTTGGATCTAATGGTGGGCGTATCATATGTGAGTAACCTGCTTGCTACATTTTATATATTTTTGTTATTGTAACTAGCTTAATAATGTTGTCTCTGGTATGTGGTATAAAATTTGAAATTATTATTTGAATTTGAAGTTCATAGCCATGTGTAAGTATTTAGTAGCTGCTTCTCAGAACACAATATTAAGAACCTATCCTGGTCCAGTTTAGTTCTCACTCTTGTAAGATATTTCTCCTCTTTTCTTTTTAGTATTATCCTCTAATAACCTTCTTGGTCTTCAGTCTGG